ATAAGAAAAAAACGAGAAAAATGTTAAAATAAAAAAAAAAGTTTAAAAAATTCAAATAAAAATTATTTATTTATTTTTACATACTGTCATCAGTCAGTGTCCCTGATCACTAACACACCAGTCATATGAAGATGCTGTACTGCACTGGGGACAGGATGTAAAACAAATGTGAAAAACATTAAATTTCTTAATTTTTCCAAAAAATTGGGACAAAAAAAATGACAACTTTAAAAAATCTTACTAAATATCTTGGACTGTCTACTTTCCAAACGGGTCATTTGGGGGTATTTGTACTGTCCTGACATATTAAGGGCCTCAAAAAATTAGATCGGCCATCAGTACATCATGATTGATTGATTTCCAGATATATATCCCATAGTTTGCAGACTCTTTAACTTTCACACCAACTAAATAATATACACTGATTAGGATTTTTTTTACCAAAGAAATGGAGCAGAATACTTTTTGCAAATGATTTTTTAACATTTTTTTTTTTATTGGTTATGTTTTATAACAGAAATTGGAAAATATATTTATTTCCAAATTTTTGGTCTTTTTTCATATACAAAGCAAAAAATAAAAAATTATGGGAGGTCACATGACATCACTTATCACTATTAATAAAAACAGACCTGACCGGAGAAGTGAGGAGGATTCTGGGAGGTCATATGACATCACTTATCACTATTAATAAAACACAGACCTGACCGGAGAAGTGAGGAGGATTCTGGGAGGTCATATGACATCACTTATCACTATTAATAAAAAACAGACCTGACCCGGGAGGTGAGGAGGATTCTGGGAGGTCACATGACATCACTCCTATCTCTATTAATAAAACACAGACCTGACCGGAGAGGTGAGGAGGATTCTGGGAGGTCACATGACATCACTCTTATCTCTATTAATAAAACACAGACCTGACCGGAGAGGTGAGGAGGATTCTGGGAGGTCACATGACATCACTCTTATCTATTAAAAAACACAGACCTGACCGGAGAGGTGAGGAGGATTCTGGGAGGTCACATGACATCACTTATCTCTATTAATAAAACACAGCCCTGACCGGAGAGGTGATGAGGATTCTGGGAGATCACATGACATCACTCTTATCTCTATTAATAAAACACAGACCTGACCAGAGAGGTGAGGAGGATTCTGGGAGATCACATGACATCACTCTTATCTCTATTAATAAAACACAGACCTGACCAGAGAGGTGATGAGGATTCTGGGAGATCACATGACATCACTACTATCTCTATTAATAAAACACAGCCTGACCAGAGAGGTGAGGAGGATTCTGGGAGATCACATGACATCACTTTATCTCTATTAATAAAAAACACAGACCTGACCTGCAGAGAGGTGAGGAGGATTCTGGGAGATCACATGACATCACTCTTATCTCTATTAATAAAACACAGACCTGACCGGAGAGGTGAGGAGGATTCTGGGAATATCATTTGATGTTACTCTTTTGTGTTCAGATGTAGAGTTTTCCTCCTGTGAAGTCTGGAGATCATATGACATCACATTGCCTCCACCTCCCTCCCTGATAGAAGAGAGAAAGAAGAAGAAGATTCTAGAAGTCACCAGAGAGATCACTGAGCTGCTGACAGGAGAGGTGAGCGGTGCCGGGAATTCTGGGACATTCTCCAGTAACAGACAAGGGATGTGTCTGGATGGTGACTGTATCATTGTGTGTGTCAGGTTCCTATAAGGTGTCAGGGTGTCACTGTCTATTTCTCCATGGAGGAGTGGGAGTATTTAGAAGGACACAAGGATCTCTACAAGGACGTCATGATGGACAATCAGCCGCCCCTCACATCACCGGGTAAGAGGAGACTTTATTGTAAAGGAGAGAGCAGTACGGAGGATCCACCTAGATCCCCCATCATCTGATAAACACATAGAAACAATGGATTCAGTCAGTGTGTGTGTTTCCTACAGATGGATCCAGTCATGGGAACCCACCAGAGAGATGTCCCCGTCCTCTGTATTCCCGGGATTCCACACAGGAAGGTCACACCATCCCTCACCATCATCAGGTAGATGGATCCAGTCATGGGAACCCACCAGAGAGATGTCCCCGTCCTCTGTATTCCCGGGATTCCACACAGGAAGGTCACACCATCCCTCACCATCATCAGGTAGATGGATCCAGTCATGGGAACCCACCAGAGAGATGTCCCCGTCCTCTGTATTCCCGGGATTCCACACAGGAAGGTCACACCATCCCTCACCATCATCAGGTAGATGATGACAATTATTGGTAGTTGTGATTTATACACAGCATGTTTGTTACAATGAATGTTTTATTATATCTTTCAGAGTGGAATCCTCGGGGATGAGAATATTGATGTTAAAGAAGAGTATAAAGAGGAGGATGAGGAGTATGGAGTGATGGAGGAGTTTTCAGAAGGACACAAGGATATGATGGAGCCACCTAATACCAGGAACCCACCAGAGAGATGTCCCCGTCCTCTGTATTCCCATTCCACACAGGAAGGTCACACCATCCCTCACCATCATCAGGTAGATGAGGAACAATCACTGATAGTATCATTAGGATCTGTACATTATCTGCATTGTTACCATTGATGGCATTTTTATTATATATTCAGAGTGGAAACCTGAGAGATCCTAAAGTTGAGGTTAAAGAAGAGATAAAAGAGGAGGATGAGGATGGGGGGATGGAGGACTCAGAGTTTCTAAAAGGACACAAAGATCTGTACCAGGACACCATGGTGGAATCATCCAGCTACAGGACCCACCAGAGAGATGTCCCCGTCCTCTTTATTCCCGGGATTCCACACAGGAAGGTCACACCATCCCTCCCCATCATCAGGTAGATGATGACAATTATTGGTAGTTGTGATTTATACACAGCATGTTTGTTACAATGAATGTTTTTATTATATCTTTCAGAGTGGAATCCTCGGGGATGATAATATTGTTGTTAAAGAAGAGTATAAAGAGGAGGATGAGGAGTATGGAGTGATGGAGGAGTTTTCAAGGACACAAGGATATGATGGAGACACATAATACCAGGAACCCACCAGAGAGATGTCCCCGTCCTCTGTATTCCCGGGATTCCACACAGGAAGGTCACACCATCCCTCACCATTACAAGGTTGGTGGGATGGAGAATCTAGAACATGGACTTGTAGAGATAATGTGTGGACTTTTTTATGTGATGTCACAATCATAAATCTTACATTTTACAGATGATATTTTCTCTCATTTTCTTGATTTAGAGTGGAGAGATCCAATTGATATAGAATTTGAGGTTAAATCAGAAGAAGAAGAGGCGTATGTGAGGGATGATCAGCAGTCTATGAGGAGGATGGAATAACGGGGACATTTATAGAGGAGGACACTCCTACAGAGATCAGCACAGGTGGGTCATGAACACTAAATCCATTCCTCCACCCATACTGCTCACTGATTGGTCCAGAGTAGGGCGGGGACTGGGTGATATCAGCCTGTAATCCCCTGGTCACTTTCCTGAGCTGTGTTCCCCGTCCTGTATTCCTGGATTTCTCTCGGATAATCTTCCTTCTCTGTGCTGCAGACACAGTTTATGTATTATGCATTGTTACTGTTTCTTCTTGCTGGAGGCAGCCATTTTGCCGAAGCCCCTGAGAAGCAGTAAATCTTTAGTCTGTCAGCAGATCAGTGTGTACAAATTCCACACAGTCCTAAAAAGGAGAGAAACTGAGCATGGCATGTACAGAGCAGGGTGAGACAGTGTATACTGGATTTTAAACAGTTTAGGCACTTATTTTTAATGTTTCACATAGTTATACCTGAGAAAGGGGCCGGCCTGAAGTGATCCTGCAGGACTTAGTGTTCTGACTAAAGTTCCACTTTAACAATAATGTGATAACATCCTCAAACTTTGGACCCTTAAACAGAAAGTGATAATGAGGGAGGAGTCAATACCCCAATGATGGTGGTCTTCAGGATCAGTCCAGTCTTCATCTTGGTTGTTCTCCCCCCATCCTCACTCTCTGACCTCTGGTGGGGCTCAGCCCCGCTGTTCTTCATGACTAAATCATGGAGTAAATAAGGAAGTGCAGTACTTCTTGTGTTGGGAAGATGGCGATGAGTGATAGAGGGGGTGGGGACCCTCGTCCTATAATCCCCTCATCACTGCCCCTCCTATAAAAGACAGTTCTGGTTGTTTCCTCACTCTCTGACTAAGGTCCATGAATAAAGAAATGACCTGGTAGGAGATCAGAGGAGCCATTTCCTAGTTCCCTTGAGGGTGGAATTGTAAGCTCCTCAGAGACCAAGCTGCCTGATGTGGGGCGGAGTCCTGGTTTGGGGGAACCAATCAGCTCCTGTCTAGTAATCCTCTTTGTCTTTGTATTTTAGTCCATGGCCGGGAGATGAGGAAAACCTCCGAGGATTGTCTCACTTTGTCTCCAGACTGGAAAGTAGAAGATGAGGACATCACACAGTATAGTCCAGGAGAAAACCCGGCTCCCTCCAATGTCCATCCGGCACCACCCAGTGTAGATGGACCATCGGATTCCTCGTATCCTGAGGAACCTCAGACTGTGCGGGACCGGGCCGGCCTTCCAACAGGGAAGAGCTTCTCCTGTACTGAGTGCGGGAAGGGTTTCCGTTCCAAATCTGAATTTAACAAGCATATAAAATCTCATACGGGGGAGACGTATTCCTGTCCTAAGTGAGGAAAAGTTTTGTAAAAAAATCACCACTTCTCACACGTCAAAGGTCCCACACGGGGGGGAAAACCCATATTCCTGTCCTGAGTGCATGAAATGTTTTTCAAGGAAATCCAATCTTTACAGACATCAGAGATTGCACAGAGGTGTGAAGCCATATTCCTGTTCTGAGTGCGTGAAATGTTTTGCACAAAAATCACAACTTGTCAAACATCAGAGATATCACACGGGGGAAAAGCCATACTCCTGTCCTGAGTGTGCGGAAAATGTTTTTCGAATAAGTCCCATCTTTACAGACATCAGAGATTGCACACGGGGGAGAAGCCGTATTCCTGTCCTGAGTGCGGGAAATGTTTTGTACAGAAATCAAAACTTGTCATACATCAAAGATCTCATACAGAGGAAAAGCCATTTTTGTGTCCTGAGTGCGGGAAATGTTTTTCAGAGAAGTCCTACCTTTCCACACATCAGAGATCACACACAGGCGAGAAGCCATATTCCTGTCCTATGTGTGGGAAATGCTTTGTAAAAAAGTCAGAACTTGTCATACATCAGAGGTCTCACACTGGGGAAAAAACATTTTTCTGTTCTGAATGCGGGAAATGTTTTCGTACAAAAATCCGAACTTGTCACACATCAGAGATCTCACACGGGGGAAAAGCCATATTCCTGTCCTGAGTGTGGGAAATGTTTTTCACAGAATTCCAATCTTTACAGACATCAGAGATTGCACACAGAGGAAAAGCCTTATTCTTGTTCTGAGTGCGGGAAATGTTTTGCACAAAAATCAGATCTTGTCACACATCAAAGAGCTCACACGGGGGAAAAGCCGTATTCCTGTCCTGAGTGCATGAAATGTTTTTCAAGGAAATCCAATCTTTACAGACATCAGAGATCTCACACAGAGGAGAAACCGTATTCTTGTACCGAGTGCGGGAAATGTTTTGCACAAAAATCAGATCTTGTCACACATCAGAGATCTCACACAGGAGATAAGCCATATTCCTGCTCTGAGTGCGGGAAATGTTTCTCACAGAAGTCTAATCTTTTCACCCATCAGAGATCTCTCACACGGGGACAAGCCAATTTCCTGTCCTGAGTGATGGAAATGTTCCTCACTGAAGTCCTGTCTTCCTGTACATCAGGGGTCCCACACAACCCTAGTGCCTTGAGTGCGGGAAATGTCTTCTAGATGAATGTTGCTGGACATCCCAGCTCTCATGTGGGGAAGAAGCACCCCCTGATATACACCTCAGATATACTCCATGGCTGATCTTCATCATGGAAGAAACAGTTCATAAGGAGATCAGAGGTCACCAAAGACATGGATGAAGTGTGGGACCGGGTTGGCCATTGATGGCAGGAGAAGAATAAAAATGGAGTCCTGACCTGTCATTGGCTGAGTACATTTTTGTGGTGGGAGATTTCACAAACACTTAGAGGTCTATATTTTTTAATGAGTTGAACGAATGTGATCGGCATTCACCCAGCCGAGAGGAAGGTTGTTCGTATTTATCTCATGCAGTGATCTTCTACGGTACTTGGCTCCATCTAGAGGTCATAGTGCGATGTTGCAATCTTTTTTCAGTCATACTGCATTACAGCCAGTAGATGGAGCTGAGTATCATAGGAAATTCCTGTGTAATTTATTAATCCCTCCCCCTCCTGAAGATTTCCCCCCCCCCCCCCCCTTCCTGACCAGGCCATTTTTTTGCATTACGGCGCTGCGTTACTTTAACTGACAATTGCACGGTCATGCAACGCCGCACCCAAATTTAATTTATGTCCTTTTTTCCCACAAATTGAGCTTTCTTTTGGTGGTATTTGATCGCTTGTGCGGCTTTTTTTTTTTTTTGCCCTATAAAAACAAAATAGACAATTTTGACAAAAAAAAAATATTTTGGACTTTTTGCTATTAAACATGTCCAGTAAAAAAATGTAAAAAATCAAATTTCGGCATAAATTTCAGCAAAAAATATTTTGCTCTGTCTTTGCTACAAAAAATCCCAATATGTGTAAATTAATTGGTTTACGTGAAAGTTATAACATTTATAATTGACAGTATAGAGACTGGGATTTTTTTTTTTTTTTTTCATTTTTACTAGTAATGGCGGCAATCAGCGACTTATAGTGGGACTGCGGCGGACATTTTGATACTGGAGAGGAACTGATTTGGTGTCACTGATATCTCCAGTGACACCAATACAGTGACCAGTGCTAATAGTGCCACTTTACTAATGGCACTGGGCAGGAAGGGGTTAATGTGAGGGCGATCAAAGGGTTAACTGCGTGTGTTTTACTATGGGGGTGGTGTCTGTGTACTTCACTGTAATCACACTGCTCTGGATGGCTGTACTGTGCAGTGTGCCCGAGCTGACAGGGAGGAGAACTGTTTGTAAATAAAACAGTCCTCCTCCCCGTCTGTGATCGTTGGAAATCACTGGGCGCCGGTGAGTAATTACTGGCCAGGGCCCGGTGACTGACAGTCGTGGGCGCAAATGAATGTCAGACGAGGCGCACGCCCCTTACCCAGAAATGCGAACTCACATACATATACATGATTTTGTGCACCGCTGGCGCCCTGTAGCAGTATTTCTGCGTGGTCAGGAATTTCAAATGCTATAGCGGTGTGGTCATTCAGGAGCGAATCGAACCTGGCGAAGTTAATCGAAAAAACAAATCTGAGTGTGCCGGTGCAATGTCCCTGCAGAGATCCGCTATTTCTGACAAGGTCATTACAGCTGTAAATTTGTTTCCACTCACGGAAACAAATAGATGTTTCCACCGCTGTAAATTAATAGTCCTGTTTAGCAGGTCATCTGATTTTAATTAATCGCAAGTAATGGCTCTTCTCAGAGTGTAGTGCTTGGAATCTCTTCTTCTTCTACTCATCCTACCCTTCTTCTTCTTCATCCTCACATCCTACTTCTTCTTCTTCTGCAGTGGTCATCCTACTTCTTCTTCATCCTTCTACTTCTTCTTCAGCTCTCTTCTTCTTCTTCATACAGAGTGCAGTGGTCATCCTACTTCTTCTTATCATCCTCATCCTACTTCTTCTTCTTCTTCATCCTCATCCTAGTGAGTCGTCGTCTTCTTCTTCATCCTCATCCTACTTCTTCTTCTTCATCCTCATCTACTTCTTCTTCTGCTTCTTCATGCAGTCATCCTATTCTTCTTCATCCTCATCCTACTTCTTCTTCTTCTTCACAGCTCATCCATACAGGTATCCTACTTCTTCTTCTTCAGAGTGCAGTGGTCAGGAGTATTCTTCACATACATCTCTTCTTCATATCACAGAGTGCAGTCATCCTACTTCTTCTTCTTCTTCATCCTCAGGTACATCCTACTTCTTCTTCTTCTTCATCCTCATCCTACTTCTTCTTCTTCTTCATCCTCATCCTACTTCTTCTTCTTCTTCAGGATCCTATATCATCCTCATCATTCTTCTTCATCCTACAGAGTGCATGGTCAGGAGTATCTTCACATATCCTCATCCTCTTCTTCTTCTTCTTGCCAGCCCCTGTACCGCCTCCTACAGAGTGCAGAGTGGTCAGGAGTATATCATTGCTGCTGTCTCCATACACTCTGCCATGGCCACTTTCAGGTCTCCTCACACAGAGTGCATTTTGTCATAGGGTCATGGATTGCTGCTATACCGCCACATCCACACTCTGGTTTTGGCCCCAGTGACTGCCCAAATGAGTGAAGTGTGCGGTGATTCTAAGATCGACGGCACTCATCTGCATGTCATACTGACTGACAGTATTATTTCTCTTCCCCAGCAGACTCCAAGGGCATTTAAATTAAAGTGGTCAGGAGTATAAATCAGCCTAGATACCACCCAGGGTACAGAGTGCAATTCGGCGTCAGGAATCAAAATTTTGTATCATCATTACATACAGACCATCCAGGGTATCTGATTTTAATTAAGAGTGGCTCAGGGGTCAGAGGTCAAGAGTATATCACATAGCTCCATACCAGGGTACAGAGTACAGAGGTCAGTGGTCAGGAGTATATCACATCCCATCCAGGGTACAGAGTGCAGCAGTCAGGAGTATATCACATACCATCCAGGGTATAGAGTGCAGGGGTCAGGAGTATATCACATACCATCCAGGATACAGAGTGTAGTGGTCAGGAGTATATCACATACCATCCAGGGTAAGAGTGCAGGGTCAGGAGTATATCACTTACCATACAGAGTGCAGTGGTCAGGAGTATATCACATACCATCCAGGGTACAGAGTGCAGCGGTCAGGAGTATATCACATACCATCCCAGAGTGGTATCAGGAGAGTACAGACAGGGTCAGGAGTATATCACATACCATCCAGGTACAGAGTGTAGTGGTCAGACGGTGTGCAGTGGTCAGGAGTATATCACATACCATCCAGGGTACAGAGTGCAGGGGTCAGGAGTATATCATATACGGTACAGAGTGCAGTGGTCAGGAGTATATCACATACCATCCAGGGTACAGAGTGCAGCGGTCAGGAGTATATCACATACCATCCAGGGTATAGAGTACAGGGGTCAGGAGTATATCACATACCATCCAGGGTATAGAGTACAGGGGTCAGGAGTATATCACATACCATCCAGGGTACAGAGTGTAGCGGTCAGGAGTATATCACTTACATACCATGGTCAGGGTATAGAGAGTGCAGGGGTCAGGGGTATATCACATACCATCCAGGATACAGAGTGTAGTGGTCAAGAGTATATCACATACCATCCAGGGTGTAGAGTGCAGTGGTCAGGAGTATATTATATACAGCTCACCATACACGGAGTGCAGTGGTCAGGAGTATATCACATACCATTGAGTGTGCAAAGTGCAGTGGTCAGGAGATTGCCATAGGAGTATATCACAGTCCAGTGTACAGAGTGCAGTGGTCAGAAGTATATCATATACAGCCCTGTGTATCCAGGGATAGAGTGCAGTGGTCAGTTAACCCCTTGCCTGCCAGCACTTTTGCACTTTGAATGGCAATTGCGTGGTCATGCAACACTACCCAAACAACAGGGGTTTTTTTTCAGAGACAGAGCTTTCTTTTGGTGGTATTTAATCACCATCCTGGGTTTTTTTTTTTGCTAAACAATCTAAAAAAAAGATGAAAATTTTGTAAAAAAAAAAAGTTTTTCTAAATTTATGTTATTCAAAATTTGTAAATAAGTAATTTTTTTCCTCCTTCACTGATGTGCACATATAATGAGGCTGCAGTGATGGGCACTGATAGGCGGCACTGACGAACACTGATAGGCAGCACTGACTGGCACTGATAGGTGGCACTGATGCTCATTGATAGGTGGCACTGATAGGCACCACTGACAGTTGGAACTGAAAGGCAGCTCTGATGGGCACTGGTATGTGGCATTGATGGCACTGGCAGTGATGGGCACTGATGGGCACTGGTGATGTGGCAGCACTGACTGGCACTGATAGGTGGCACTGATGCTCATTGATGTGTGGCATTGATGGGCACTGGTTGGTGTGGCATTGATGGGCACTGGTATGTGGCATTGATGGGCACTGGTATGTGGCATTGATGGGCACATGTGTGGCATTGATGGGCACTGGTATGTGGCATTGATGGGCACTGGTATGTGGCATTGATGGGCACTGGTGTGTGGCATTGATGGGCACTGGTGTGTGGCATTGATGGGCACTGGTGTGTGGCATTGATGGGCACTGATGTGTGGCATTGATGGGCACTGTATGTGTGGCATTGATGGGCACTGGTATGTGGCATTGATGGGCACTGGTATGTGGCTTTGATGGACACTGACAGCTGGCAATTATGGGCACTGACAGCTGGCACTGATGAGACTACACTGATGATCAGTGCAGATGTCCCCTCTGAGGAATGCAGGTTACTGGCCCTCCTCTCCTCACATGCTGTCAGCTTGAGGAGAGGACTGCCGATAACTGACATTTGCTATTTACATGCGATCAGCTGTGGTAAATCTGTCATTGGCTCTTTACTGT